CTGATCCGGGCGTGGGATAAGGATCTGCTCTGCCCCTACTCGAGTTGGGGTGACGTGTGTACCACACTGGCAGGCCACTGGGCCTGACCCGCCAGGCTCTCACAGGTCTGTTTACCTTGCAAGCGCGAAGGGCGGCTCTGCCCTGCCCCTCCTACCACGCCCATGTACTACTGGGTCGTGGGTCTGCCCACCTGGCGGGTGTGGGTGGCGGCTCCGCTCCGCCCCCTCTCCAATTGGGGTCACGCGGTCACCACGCTGGCGAGCCGCTGGGCCTGCTCCGGGGGCTGGCGGTGGCCCGGCTCCTTCCCTCTGGCTCGAGGACAAATTGAGGAGACTCGGGTGACTGAGCCTCACCCCCCTTACCAGGAGACCAACTGCTTATGTCACCGCTGGTATTGATGAAGATCTCTCCTCCACCGCTTTCTGCTGACATCAGATCTCTGCCATGTTGGTATCCTATGCGAATGGCAGCATTTCGTTCCCCTTGCCAGGCAACCCAAGCAATGGGTGAGTCCTGACCTGCCCTCAGCAGGACCCGGACCGAGACACAGTTTCCGCGGGCTCCTAGCCCCGGTCCAGGGAAGTTCCGGGAGCCGGAACTCGGCCGCTCCGTGCTCGGTGTAAGCTCCTATAAGTGTAGGCTCCAAGAAGCAGCCCCCGCGGGCTCAGTTCCGGGAGCCGGAATTCGGCCGCTTAGTGTTTGGTGTATGCTCTGATAGTAGCAGGGTCCAAGAAGCAGCCTCCGCGGGCTCCGCAGCCCTGAGCCAGGGCGGTTCCGGGACGGTTCCGGGAGCCGGAACTCGGCCGCTCTGTGCTCGGTGTAAGCTCCTATAAGTGTAAGCTCCAAGAAGCAGTCCCCGCGGGCTCAGTTCCGGGAGCTGGAATTCGGCTTCTTGGTGTTTCGTGTTTGCTCTGATATTAGCAGGGTCCAAGAAGCAGCCTCCGCAGGCTCCGCAGCCCGGAGCCAGGGCGGTTCCGGGACGGTTCCGGGAGCCGGGACTCGGCCGCCCCGCGCTCCGTGTTCACTCCGATAAGATCAGATTTTAAGAAGCCCCCAGGCGCTGAACCCTAGCAATCTGTCTGCAAGCCGCAGGCGAATTGCAGCCTGAAATTACCTGTTCTATGGCTGAATCGGGTCTCACAAACTTAACGTGAAGCGAGATAAGCCAGCGGAGAGAGGAGGTAGTTTTGAATGATAAAGGAGATATAATCAAGGAAGCCAACACTTGATGCATATTTAGATCTGATGATTAAGGGACCCAGGGAAGTTAAGTGTGACTCTAATATTTTGACCTAGTAAACTCAGCAATAATGAAGTCATTCAAAAAGGTAGACAATATAGGATGAGTAGCAGGTTTGTTTGGAAGATGATGATTTAAATTTTGAACATTTGAGGTTCTCCTGAACCTCAAATGTAATTATTTAGTAGGAGGAACATTTGTCTGTATTTTAGGAGGTTTGAGTTTTGGAATTTATTCAGGCGGCTGGTAACACCAGGGAATGTATGATATCACTCTGAAAGAAAACTTAGTATGAGAAGTAGGGAAAGGGATGAAACTCTGGAGAACACTATATTTTAATAGTTGGATGAAGGAAGAGGAGCTTATAAAAGAGAAGAAGCAACAGTAAGAAATATGAGGCAGAAACGGGAAAGAACGCTGTCCTAAAAAGTTAAGGAGAGAGAGAACTGTGGTGAAGAATTGCAAGTCCATTTGAAAGATGATTAATAAGTGGTCATAGGATGTTACTGATGACCCATTTCGAGGATGGGTTTAGTGAAATTGTAAAAGCCAAAGTCAGAATGAGGTGGGTCAAGGAAAAAACAGGGGTAGGGGGAAAGAGAAAATTCAACTCCTAGGGAGTGAGGTGAGTTTTAATTTGACAGAGACATTTGCACTTAGGAGTTAGAATCCTTTGTGATGGGGAGAGTTAAAGGACAAAAGAGAAAGAGAACAACATCCTTTTGATTAATCTTGAAGTTTCTAAAAAACATTTTTCTGTTCTTTAAGGTAAGCCATTTAGAAATGCTTAGAATTAGCAAATTCCTCCTTCTCCTAAAGTCCCAGGCTATGACATTTTTTTAAAAAATTGTTTTTATTTCTTGACTCAATATTTTTCCCTTGTTCTGTGTGATATGTTGCTTTTTAAAATTTTTTTATATATGACAGCAGAATGCATTACAACTCATATTACATATATAGAGCACAATTTTTCATATCTCTGCTTATATACAAAGTATATTCACACCATTCGTGTCTTCTTCATACACATACTTAGGGTAGTGTGATATCTATCTCATTCCATCATCTTTTTTTTTTATCCCTTTGCCCCCTCCTTCTTCTACCCTCACCTTTGCCCTATCCAGAGTTTGTCTAATTTTCTCATGCTCCTCCTCCCAACCTTCTATGTATCAGTCTCCTTATATCAGAGAAAACGTTCTGCATTTGGTTTTTTGGGATTGGCTAACTTCACTTAGCATTATATTCTCCAACTCCATCCATTTGCCTGCAAATGCCAGGATTTTATTTTCTTTCATTGCTAAGTAATATTCCATTGTGTATATATACCACGTTTTCTTTATCCATTCAACTACTGATGGGCATCTAGGTTGATTCCACAGTTTAGTCATTGTGAATTGTGCTGCTATAAACATTGATGTGGCTGTGTCCCTGTAGTATGCTGTTTTTAAGTATTGTGTGTATAGACCCAGGAGTGGGATAGCTGGGTCAAAAGGTGGTTCCATTCCCATTTTTCTAAGGAATCTCCATACTGCTTTCCATATTGGCTATACCATTTGCAGTCCCACCAGCAATGTATGAGTGTGTCTTTTCCCCCATATCCTCGCCAACGCTTATTGTTGTTTGCATTCTTAATAGCTGCCATTCTGACTGGAGTGAGAAGAAATCTTAGGATAGTTTTGATTTGCATTTCTCTAATTGCTAGAGATGTTGAATATTTTTTCGTATATTTGTTGATTGATTATATATCCTCTTCTGAGAAATGTCTGTTCAGTTCCGTGGCTTATTTATTGATTGGGTTATTTGTTTTTTTGGTGTTTAGCTTTTTGAGTTCTCTATATACCCTAGAGATTAGTGCTCTATCTGATGTGTGAGGGGTAAAAATTTGCTCTCAAGCTGTAGGTTCTCTATTCACCTCACAGATTGTTTCTTTTGCTGAGAAGAAGCTTTTTAGTTTGGATCCATCCCATTTATTAAGTCTTGATTTTAGTTCTTGTACTATAGAAGTCTTGTTAAGAAAGTAGGGGCCTAATCTGATATGATGTAGATTTGGGCCTACTATTTCTTCTACTAGACACAGGGTCTCTGGTTTAATTCTAGGTCCTTGATCCACTTTGAGTTGAGTTTTGTATATGGTGAGAGATAGGGGTTTAATTTCATTTTGTTGCATGTGGATTTCCAGTTTTCCCAGCACCATTTATTGAAGAGGCTATATTTTCTTCAATGTATGTTTTTGGCGCCTTTGTCTAATATAAGATAACTGTAATTATGTGGGTTAGTCTCTGTGTCCTCTGTTCTGTACCATTGGTCTACCAGTCTGTTTTAGTGTCAATACCATGCTGTTTTTGTTACTATTGCTCTGTAGTATAGTTTAAGATCTGGCATAGTGATGCTACCTGCTTCACTCTTCTTGCTAAGGATTGCTTTAGATATTCTGGGTCTCTTATTTTTCCAGATGAATTTCATGACTGCCTTTTTTTTTATTTCTGTGAGGAATGCCATTGGGATTTTGATTGGAATTGCGTTAAATACATATAGTGCTTTTGGTAGTATGGTCATTTTGACAATATTAATTCTGCCTATCCAAGAACAAGGGAGATCTTATCATCTTCTAAGGTCTTCTTTAATTTTGATATTTAGCATTCTGTAGTTTTCATTGTAGAGGTCTTTCACTTCTTTTGTTAGGTTGATTCCCAAGTATTTTTTTTTGAGGCTATTGTAAATGGGGTAGTTTTCTCATTTCCCTTTCAGAGGATTTGTCACTGATATACAGAAATGCCTTTGATTTATGGGCGTTGATTTTGTATCCTACTAATTTGCTCAATTTATTTTCTAGTTCTAGAAGTTTTCTGGTGGAATTTTTTGGGTCTTCTAGGTATAGAATCATATCATTGGTAAATAGTGCTAATTTGAGTTCTTCTTTTCTATGTGTATCCCTTTAATTTTTTTCATCTGTCTAATTGCTCTGGCCCGTGCTTCAAGAACTATGTTAAATAGAAGTGGTTAAAGAGGGCATCTCTGTCTTGTTCCAGTTTTTAGAGGGGGTGTTTTCATTTTTCTCCATTTAGAATGATATTGGCCTGGGGCTTAGGGTAGATGGCCTTTACAACGTTGAGGTATGTTCCTGTTATCCCTAGTTTTTCTAGTGTTTTGAACATGAAGGGGTGCTGTATTTTGTCAAATGCTTTTTCTGTGTCTATTGAGATGATCCTATGGTTCTTACCTTTAAGTCTATTGTGTGAAAATTCTCAAATGCATTTATTTGACCTCCACTCCCTTCCCACAGATTTGGCCTTCATTTGCATTTTATGTTAAGTATTGAAGGAGACTGTGGATAAGTTCCTTTAGATCCCATTATGATGGAACTGTCATGTCCTCTTCTAACTCCTCATCTTTTAGCTCTTCCTGGAGCTATCTAATATTTCAAAAACAGTAGGATTAGGCCTGTTGACTGTGGGGTCATGGGGAAAGTTTTCCTGTCAGGCTGTGTCCAATTAGGTAATAAGACATTTGTAGATTTTGTTTCTGTGTCAAATGCAAGAAAGCAACAGTAAAGGGCAATGACCTAGGTTGGGGCATGGCTCAGTGGTAGAGTGCTTGCCTTGCATGTTTGAAGTGCTGGGTTCGATCCTCAGTACCACATAAAAATAAATAAGGCAAATAGAGGTATTGTGTCCATCTACAACTAAAAAAAAAACTTTAATGAAAGAGCAATGACCTAATGCTACCAGGAAAATGATTGGTTTTTATTCTATTTTTCAGTTATCTTTAACAAATATTCTCAGCTACTTGAAGAAAAGAACTATAAAGTTTCTATGAAGACCTCGATTCACACAAATTTAAAGTGTGTAAGAAACAATTCAACCATGGAAGGTAAATTTAATGTGCCTAGAGTTCAGTTGCTGACTATAGTATTAAGGATCCCAAATCAGTATTTATGATTTCCAGATAGATCACACTAAAAAGAGTAGTCTCACAATCATTGTAAGCTACAAGTGTACAATACATAACACCTGAAATTCTTATACATTTAAAGTTTTCTATGCAATGCTTGATTGTAAAAAAGGATATATTGCTATTGCATTTCTTCAGCCGGTGCTTCTTTCTGAGGTTTCTGTGCAAGGCTACTCTTTTTCTCATATGTCAATTATAACAATTTGATAAAAATGATGATGAATATATTATTGTGAATGTGAATATTTTACATTAAAATAGGCTATTTTAAAACATCTTTATATTTACAGAAAAATTGAGCAGATAATATTAAAAGATTCTATTTTAATCCCCCCCTTGCACACACAGTGCCCTTTATTATTAACCTAAGTAAGGACATTTGTTATGACAAATGAACCAATATTGATGTTTTTATTACTAAATTCATGATTTTTCCCCCTTTGGTACTAGGAATTAATCTTAGGAATTCACACATCTAGGCAAGTATTTATCACTTAGCCACCTCTCTACCCCCAAATTCTTGATTTTCTAAATTTTCAAGTATTGTACTTTTGCTGCACTGGAGTCCCATGCAGTCCCCCACATTACATTTAGTTGTTATCTCTCTTTAGGTTCCTCTTTGCTGTGATAGTTTTTCAGACCTTCCTTGTTTTTGATGACTCTTAACAATTTTGGGAAACACTATTCTATATATTATAGGTTGTTCCTTATTAAAAGTTGAAGTTTTCCTAATGATTATATGGGGATTATTTCTTTTTGGGAGGAGGCTTACAGATGTCAAATGCTATTTTCATCACATCATTTTAATTGTTTGCATTATCAAAGTAGTTTTTGACTGTTGATGCCAAAGTTGATTACCCGAGGTAGTGTTAGATTTCTCCATTGTAAATGTATTCCCTCTCCTATTCCCAGACTATAGAGTTTACCAGGAGGTTGCTGTGTGTAGATAATATTTTATTTAGGGTGGAGGAGTCATGCTTTCTGTTTATTAGGGTGGAGTGTTAGTTAGAGCTCTCCAGAAGAACAGAAGCAATATGAATATGGATATTTATTTTAGGAACTTGGCTCATGCAATGTTGGGGGCTTGATAAATCCAATATTTGATCTGGGTAACTTGCAGGCTAAAGATTGAGGAAGGAGTGGCAGATTGAGGCCAAAGGAAGTCTGTTAAGCTTTTAAAAGGTCATTATATTTTTCAATGATACAATATCCATTTTTTTACATGTTCTATTTTTTTGTTTAGTCTATTTTTTCCTTTATTTGTTTCTTTTTTGGGGGGGGGTTTACAGGGATTGAACCCAGGGGCACTAAACCACTGAGCCACATTCCAACCCTTTTTATTTTTAATTGTGAGATAGGGACTCACTGAATTACTTAGGGCTTTTTCTTTGTTTCAAGATTGTTTATATCTTCTTGTTGAAGCATTTTTTATCATGGTTACTTTAAAATCATTGTCAGATCATGTTAACATTTTTGTTATCTGTATCTATTGATTATCATTTTTTACTAAATTTGAGAACTTCTTGGTTCTTGATATAATTAATTATTTTCTGTTGAAACCTGGATACTTTCATTTTGAGGTTTTGGAGTCTGGGTTTTATTTAAACATTATATTTTAGCTGGTTTTTTTCCTGATACCAGTCCACCAGGTGAAAGGGGCCCTGACACATTACTGCCTGGTGGAGGCAGATTCGGCTCCTTGGAACTTGAGGAAAGGAGTCTCCTTGTTATATCTGGGTGAACATGGGAGCTGCTGCTTTCATGCTGTTTCCTTAGGCTTGTAAATTTAATAATACACACAGTTTAAACATACATTTTCATATAACACACTTATTTGCCCTTCTTGTCAATAAAGGAAAAGTCTGGAGCTGTTGCCCAGAGCATTGGAAGTCATTTAGTTCCAGTTGCTACTTTTTTTCTACTGATGCAAACTCTTGGAATGCAAGTCAGGAGAACTGCTCTAGAATGGAGGCTCACCTGGTGGTGATCAACAGCAAGGAAGAGCAGGTACTTTCTAAGAGACAATGGAGTCATGAGCCTGTCTGACTTTTGTACTTGTCTTTGCTAAGAAGGGATATTGATGCTGTGGCAGAAGACTTTCCATAAGACAGATAGGAGAGGCTCCCTCAGCCTTCATATTACACACTTTGTACCTTCTTCAGTATAACTAACCTACCCCCAGGGAAACTATGGCATTCAACATGTAAGACCTGGGGGTTTAGTGAAAGGATGAAATGTTTCTGCCTATAACAGCAGTTGGTTATTTCAATATAAAACTGTTTTCTGAATTATCAACTGCTAAACAGAAAGGAGAATTAACTTGAATGGGCAAAGTTAAATTGAGAGACTCACAATCAGCAATCAGGAATGAAATTTTAAGAATCTGTGAAGTGCTGGGTGTTGTGGTGCATGTTTGTAATCCCATGGGGCTTGGGAGGCTCAGGTAGGAGGATCTCAAGTTCAAAGCAATCCCCTACAGTGTAGCAAGGCCCTAACCAATTTAGCAAGACCCTGTTCCTAATTGAAATATAAGAAAAGGTGGGAATGTTGCTCAGTGGTTAAGCATTCCTGGGTTCAATTTCTGGTACAAAAAAAATCATGATGTTATGAAAGGAAAATGATTAAATTCGTAAGAATTTTCTCATGCACAACTTTGAAGAATGTTCTTCAGTGAAGAAAAGAGGGAAAGTGTGGGTGGATCTGGATCACTGAGCTTGACCTTCTGCAGCAGTCTGCTGTTCGGAAGGGGCGGCCCTGTGATGGAGGCTAGGCTCCACAATGGAATATTACTCAGCAATAAAAGAGAATAAAATCATGGCATTTGCAGGTAAATGGATGGAGTTAGATAAGATAATGCTAAGTGAAGTTAGCCAATCCCAAAAAACCAAATGCCAAATATTTTCTCTGATATAAGGAGGCTGATTCACAGTGGTAGGGAGGGAGAGCATGGGAAGAATAGAGGAACTCTAGATAGGGCAGAGGGGTGGGAGGAGAAGGGAAGGTCATGGGGTTAGAAATGATGGTGGAATGTGATGGGCATTGTTATCCAAAGTACATGTATAAAGACATGAATTGGTGTAAATATACATTGTATACAACCAGAGATATAAAAAATTGTGCTCTATCTGTGTAATAAGAATTTGTAATGCATTCTGCTGTCACATATAAATAATAAAAAAATAATTAAAAAAAAGAAAAGAGGGAAAGTGAATTTGAGATGGAAATTCATCCTGATTGTAGATAGGTATTACTTTAATATTTAATAAAATTAAGGCTCACAGATGATGTCTTTTATCCTTTTGTGCTCAGAGATCTGCAGATCCCATATGGTTATTCCTGAACCATCTCCTTTTGTTTCATTTCTTTATGACCATAAAGAGTTCAGTTGAAAAATCACACTGTACCTTTAAATATGTAAAATTATTAATTGTTAGTAAAATCTTTAAAAAAATATAAAGCTGGAAATGTTAACTATGCCAATTTGATCATTATGCATTGTGTATATGTATCAAATTATCATGTCATCTGATAGATTTTACAATTAAAATAAGAAATAAATCACCAAAATTCTTTTAAGAATATTTTTATTAGTAAATCATATTTATACATGAGAATAGACTTCATTCTGTTTTATTAATATCAGTACATACTATGATTTGGCAAATAAAAACAACAACAACAACAACTCAGTTCAAGCTGAGTATCTAGAGCCTATGACTTTGCTTTTTCTTTTACTTTAGGATTTCCTCACTCAAAATATGGATAAAAAATCTGCTTATTTTATGGGGCTATCAGATCCAGAGGGTCAAGGACACTGGCAATGGGTTGATCAGACCCCATACAACCAAAGTGCCACGTGAGTACAGAATTAGATAAAGGAATCTAGGGTCCTGGATCATGTAGGAAGTTTAGAGTGTTCTATCATCAGTTCTGAAACTAAAACAGCTCACTCTTGTCCTGTTGCACACACAGTTAATCAATTTTATTACCTCATGAAATTATCACAGAACCCTAGGAGGCACACATTATTTTTCCTATTATAGCAATTGAGTTTGGAGAGTATAGATAGTTCAGCTAAGGTCTTCCAACACTAGTCTTTAGAACCAAGTCGATTCTACTTTGCTTTTAAAAACTCAATTTATTTTCTGTAATAAAAATTCATGTTTTTAAAGATCATTATGGATTATTGTGATTTAATATTTTTCATAAAGCAAAAATCCTAAATTTGTATACTATTACAATATCTCATATTTATGTAATCTTTAAAGGCATTTGAATACATTAGTATACTCCCATCTTTGATCCTTATATCTTCTTTGTGAAATATATAGTGCTGTTACTCTGGTTCTGTTTTTACATGGGCAAACTGAGAATTTAAGAAATTAAATTATTTGACCTAGGAAACAGGAATAAGTAGAAGATCTAGAGATTTAACTATTTCTTCAGACTTCAAAATCTTCCGATTAAAAAGGGAAAAAAAGCTCATATTGATTCATGGGACCATGTTGACTTCTCTTCATCATATAAGAAAGCCCCTTTTTCTGTTTCAGATTCTGGCATACAGGTGAGCCAAGTCACAGTGGAGAGCGTTGTGTTATAGTAAATCATCCTTCTCCATCATTACAATGGGGCTGGAATGATATAAATTGTGACATTCTTCAACGATCAGTTTGTGAAATGATGAAGATCTACTTATGAATCAACACTTTTCATGGTCATGTGTTTGGGTTTGCATTCATTATTCTAGAGATAGCTCATACGTTCTTTATGAAAGACATTCCATAGACTTTTAGGTATGTGGTCAACTATTCCACTTTTGAAGAAATGTAAGTGTTGCATATGGAATTTATCAGTTTACTTTCTACAGAGCTCCTAATACAATAATTGTGGGGGACTTTTACTTTATGTACAATGAGTTTACTGCATATTATTTCTGTACCATAATGATGGTACAGAATTTTCAAAAGATACATTTACTCAAAATGCCTTTGATTGCCTCAGTAAGGAGAGTAATTGAACAGGAGTGAAATATTTAATCCTGCGTCTAGCCAGTGCTGGAAGTCTTCACTCTACCTTGTGTTGTATGAGTGTGGTTGTGTGTCTTTTACTTATTTTTCTCTAGAGCATCTTTACATCAATGTGTGTGAACAGGTTTTATGTGAGGTTGTGTTTCAAGAGTGATATAGAATCAGAAACCATCATACTGAGCGCTAATCACTGAAAAGGATTGTAAGAAGTAATACAGTAGTTATGGTTTTAAGCCACTAGGTTTTGGGTAGAATGTTCAGTACTGGGGAGAATTCTTTTACTTTCATGTGACTATCATTTTGTAGAAATGATAATGTTGAAGCTGGCCGATTTCTCTGAAGGTGGAGATCTGCTGACAACTGACAACCCTCTAGAGCCCTTTGGATGTAAATTTTATTCAGATAATTTTAATTCTGAAACATGGATTATGTTAAAGATTAGATATGAGGTGTCTCCCAAAAGTTTATGTGTGACAATGAAAGAAAGTTTAGAGTTGACGTGATGGGATATGAGAGCCTTTACCCAATCAGTGCATTAATTTCCTGATAGGGATTAAATAAATGGTAAGTGTAGGCATGTAGGGTGTGGCTGAACGAGGTGAGTCACTGAGAGTGTGCCTTTGAGGTAGGTATTTTGTTGTGGTGGGAGGATTCTGTTTTTTTTTTCCTCTGTCTCTGCTTCCTGGTGGGTATGTCCTGAGCCATTTTCCTCTTCTACTACTTTATGCTTTGATGGTCTCTTTCACTTCAGACCCAGAGCTATGGGAACTGGCCATCTATGGACTGAGACCTTTGAAAGCATGAGCCCCAGATGAACTTTTCCTCCTCTAAAATTGTTTTTTGTCAGGTATTTTGGTCACAGTAGCAAAAAAGCTGACTAAAGCAGATTAGTTCTTTCTTTGTCTAAATGTTGGACATCATCAGTAGTGCACAGTTGCAGAGGATGAGCTTAATGATTCAAGTACAGAAGAAATCACGAGGTAGAGTTCAGCTGTATTAAAACAATTTTTCAGTGTAAAGGTTTGATGAAATATTGTGTAACAAAACTTTGGATAAAGTGCTTTGGAGAATTTAGAAATGTTGTAAATGGAATTTTTAAAATAAGGAACCAGCTTTAAGGATTGTGGTTCATGTTTGCTGTCTATGCATCCCTTCTTCCTCAAAAACAATATTTCAATATTGTTTAAAGTCACACTTTCCTTCTTGAAGCTTATGTGACTTGGGATGCTGTGAGTGAGTATGGATTAATCCAAGTCAACAATCATACTAGTGGTTGGTTTAGGAATAGCATGAATTGTTAGTTCTGCTAAGAAATTGCTTCTTCCTCTTCTCAGAGGAATCAGGGAGTGAATCTCCCTCTCCTAATGAACATGAAGAATCCTGTTCACAACTGACAGTCATACTGTAACCACGAGGGGAAGTAGCCTTCAAATGATAGAAACACCATGGATGGCAGAGTAGAGCCATGGGAAGAACCTGGTTATTTAAATTCTTTGTGAGTCACTGATTCTACTATTTTTACAGCATAGCCTACTGTGAATTTTTATTGTGAAGACTAATAAATTTCTAATTATTTGTTAGATTGAGTCCTGATGGATTTAAGAAAATATATTACTTTTAGTGACTAGATTTTATTGAGCTATCATTTACATAAGTAAAAGGCACACACTTTCAGAGTATAGTTCCATGATTTTGTCAGGTGTATGCAAACCTGTAACCACCATGATTATCTACAATAAAGATTTCTAGCACTGCCCAATGTTCCCTGTCCTGACCAAATGAATGCAGTGTTCTGATTCCAGCTTTTCAAATTCCATATAAAACAGATAACAAAGTTTGCTTTTTCTTTTTACTTTCTTTATCTCAATATGTTTGTAAGATTCTCCTAAGTTTTTTGTATTTTTTCATTGGTAGATTCAATTTTTTATGGAATTGTGTTTCACTGTAGAATGATCTATAACATGATCTGTTTATCTGATTTGCTATTTCTATATCTTATCTATTCTGAATAAAGCTTATTCTTTCACATGCCTTTTTGTGTAACTCTGCATTTATTTTTCTTAGAAATGTGTATAGGAATGGAATGTATTCACACCACAGTATTATAGAGAATAGTATTACTGCCCTAAAATTTCTCTGTCTTTTAGTTACTATCCTTTTCTTCCTGATAACTCCTGGAATTTTCTGATTTTTATGCTTTTGTCTTTTACAGATTGTCATAAGTTGGATCCTACACAGATTTTTCCAATGTCTTCTTATCATTAGTAATGTGCATTTATGATTCCTCCATTTTATTTTATGGCCTGTTGTCATTTCTTTTTATTGCAGAAAATATTCTACCACAGTTTTTTTATTCATCCATTGAAGTACCTGTTGATTGCTTCTAATGTTTGACACTTAGGAATGAAGTTTTATTTGGCCTCTTGTGGGGGTTTTTGTGTGGACATGTTTTTTTGTTCATGTGTTAACACCTAGGAACACTCTTATTGACTTGGGTGTTAAGACTAATAACTGTCTTCCAAAGTGGCTATCATTTTGCATTTGACCAGCCATGAATCAAAGTGTTCCTATTGTTACCTTTCCTTGCCAGCATTTTGAATTGACAGTGTTGTGGATCTTGTCCATTAATATGTGTGCTGTGGTGTCTAATTTTTAAAATGTCTTCTCCCTATGAATTACAATGTAAACTCCTTAGTGCAGTGACTTTGATTTGTTTATTGTTGAGTCCTCAGATATAACTGATTATCTGGCCACAAGTCATCACTCAATAAGTATTGATTGAAAGAGAAAATGAGTGTGTCTGCAGGAGTGGTAAAGTGTTGTCCATCACTGTTTGGGTAAAATGTTAAAAAATTTATTGAGTTTGGAAATTTAAGCCAAATCCTACATTCTAGCTTTTGTCAATAATGAAGTTCATGCTGTGAGGTCTGTCATATGCATACATCTATTTAGGGTAGGGACAAGGGAAGAGAGGGGTATTAGTTATTGGCTCCCTAAAACCACAATCACAAGTTCCATAAAAGATGAAATAAGCAGAAATTTTCTTTTTTTATTGATTTTCAAAAAAAAAAAAATAAATGACAGCAGAATGCATTATAATACTTATTACATGTACACAGCACAATTTTTCATATCTCTGGTTGTATATAAAGTATGTTGACACCAATTCATGTCTTCATACATGTACTTTGGATGATGTTGTCTATCACATTCCACCATCAGAAATTTTTATTTTAAAAATTTAAACTCAGTTTATGTTTAACTGATACATAAATCATTAAATTGTGCATATTATGGGGTACTATGTAAAGTTTCAACAAATGTATGCATAGTATAGTGTTGAAATCAAGTTAAACATATCTGTCTCTTCAAACATTTATCAGTTCTTTATGTAAAAGCAGTCAAAATCCTTTTTTTAATTTAAAAATTTGTTTTTAGTTGTAGATGGACACAATACCTTTATCTTATTTATTATTATGTGGTATTGAGGATTGAACCCTGTGCCTCACACATGGTAGGCAAGAGCTCTACCACTGAGCTGCAACCTCAGCCCTTAAAATTTTTTTTCCTAGCTTATTTTTATAGATGCATTGTAATCGAGGGCACAGAGTAGTGTCTGCTTTCAGGATCAGAGCTGTGCTGCAGATGTCAGCAGAGGGGCAGCCTGACAAGTGGAGATGCTGCTGGCTTCCCAGCAGAAACCTGAGAATGCTAGATGTATACAACCCCTATTCAGTCTCCCAGATTCATGAGTAAAGCTGTTTTTATAACAAATTTTCTAAAAATTGTTTTTCAGAAGTAGCATTACCCAATCTGTCCTAAAGGAGCATGCGTTAGTGACAGATAGTGGGACTTTACTTCATTGTAATACTAAAATCTCCATGCAGGGAAAACCCGGGTCATTTCCATAACATGGAAAGTATAAGGAAGCATGGTCAGACTTCCTTGTGCAGGAAAGTCCCCACTCATGTTGTGATGATGTCTTCTCTCGCCCAGGTCATGCATTCCCTGCCAAATAAACTACAGCTTGCTCTGGCAGCCAGCAGAGCTTTGGGAGCAATTCCCGATTTGCAAACAAATTTGGCTCCATGTCATCACTGTTCTTGTGTTTATGTTCTGCCAGGATTCTCACCAAGAGGTGGATTCATTAAGTTGGGTCACACAGTCATTGTTCAAGGAAGTGGAAGAATTGTGATGCTGTGTGTAGAGAGGTGCTGTCACAGCCCACCGTCCCTAAGCTCTGGGTTCTTGCTGCTTATGGGGAAGGTGCAGAACTCAAAAGCTGGTCAGGTGGCAACTACAGATCCTGAGCTTCACTGAAGTGCTTCAGGCTGGCCTTGGTGCAGCAACCTCGGGGATGTGCATTCATTTCTCCTGCTCACCTTCTGAACCCAGGCCCAGCATTTACTGCTGCAGCTGCTGCAGGAACTTGGCCACCTGCAAGATGGTTTCTGTTGCAAGGTTAGTACCCTGCAGCAGCATTCCCATACCTCTTCCTGGAGACCAGCCTCTTTCTCCAAGAACAGGGCCAGAACTGAGCTTTGGGGCTCTGGTTCTACATGAGGCTGCTGTTGCCACAGAACCCTCCACTCAAGGGAACCCTCTCAGGGAGGTCAGATCATTGGCAAGACTGGTCATATTCAAAGGGCACAGGTCCTGGAACCTTCAAACTTAACAACTGTGTCTGAAAGATCTTCATTATGCCTCCATGTGTCTTGGTTTGTCTGGATTTCACAGCCTAATTTAAAAAAAATCATTTATTGAATACTTACAGTTATTTTATCCTTTGATTCTAAATTTTCAACAAAAATATCAATTTTAATCAACAAATTCATTAGGCATATTAATAGGATTCACTGTGATATTTTTTTTAAACCTATATAGCCTGCACTGATCATCTCTTCTTCCACCCCTCCACCCCAGCAGACTTCCCAGTTGTTAGTAATCACAATTTACATTCAGGCTAACCTTTTCACATACTTATTTTTTTAATAGGAGAGAAAATAAGATACTTTACTTTCTTCCTTTGTCTGGTGTATTTTGCTTGCCATGATTTCCTACAGTTTCACTTTTTTTTTTTTTGCTGCAAATGACATGACATCTTTCTTTTTAATGAGTGAATAATACTCCATTATGTATATATACCATATTTTCTTCATTCCATCTATTGGTTAATGTTGGTAATGATTCCATGTCTTAGTTATGAATAGTGCATGCAGTCAGTGAAACTGACTCCTTTTGTATGCTGACTTCATTTCCTTTGGATATACACCCGGGAGTAATGTTGATTGATCATATGATAGTTCCATGTGTAGTTTTTTGAGGAATCTCCATATTGTTTTTCATAGTGGCCATACCAATTTACATTTATACCATCAGTATATAAGAGTTCCCTTTTCTCTATGGCCTCACCATCATTTGTTAATTTTTGTTGTTTGATAATAGTCATTCTAAATGGGGTGAGATTGTATCTCATTTCAGTTATGGTTTGCATTTCCCTGATGGCTAATGACATTGAGCATTTTAAAATACATTTATTGGTCATTTGCATTTTTCTTTTGAGAAGTGTGTATTCAGATAATATGCCCATTTTTATTTGGATGACTGGTTTTTTGTTTTTAAGTGTTCTTTTATTTTCTTCTATAGTTCAGATAACAACCATCTGTGAGATTAATAGTGGGCAAAGATTTTATCCCTTTGTGTAGGTAATCTCCTCACTCTGTTGATTTTTCCTTTGCTGTGTAGAAGCTTTTTAGTTTGATATAATCCAACTGTCAGGGTTGCTTTTGATTCCCATGCTTTTGGGAAATATCCAGCCTTTGGTCCTACCTGGAAAATCATTGCCTGTACCCATGTCTTGGAGAACAGCATTAGGGAGGATTAATTGGAGAGGGGTAAGGAAGTCAAGAGCTCTTTAGCTTGCCTGTCCTGAACAGAGCTCAGCAGAATGTTTCCTCTTCCTTCACAGTTGGGTGACCTGATCACTGAGTTTATTTGTTCATCTCTGGGGGGAACTGGAAAAATGGCAACATTTTATAACCACTTCCTCCATCTCGTCCTATGATTTATTTTATCTCAAAATGACCATGGGAGAAACTTTCTGGCTTTCTATCCTGTTTCTGAAAGTCTTTTCATCATGTGCCACAGCTATGACTATCCTATCTCTAACAGTGCCCTGCTGAGTTCAAGTCCACTTTTTATGGAGGTCCAATTATGGAGGTCTGTTTAATTAAATCATTGGCTATTGGTGATGGCACTTGGTTTCCAGTCCTTTTCCCTCCCTGAGTGGGATTGAATGTTTCAACTGTTCACTCATATGATTGGTTCCTCTAGCAAGCAGCTCCATTCTGGAACTATCTTGAGGACCATCAAGAGTCACATAAGTGGCATAAGGTCAGACATGGCTGAAAGGGGCATGTCAGGAATAAAAAAAACTGTCTACTATTATCTTTATTGTTCCAAACCTATTTTGGGAATTTGGGGAGGAAAACCCAAATACCATAAAAAAGATACTTTTGTTACATTTATGGCTGAGAAAGTTTTAAGGTGTTAGCAACTCTGTGCCAAGAACTGAGGATGAAATCAAATGTATATTTCTTTTCATAAGCCAATATTGTGAGTTCAATGTCAATATGTCTATAATAGATTTCCAGTATTCAGACTGCTTCCTTATGTACTTGGAGATGTTTTTGATGTTAATAAAGAAAAAAATCTACATAATCTACATTCTACAACCTGCAAAATATTGAGGCAGGATCTCAAAATCCTTGAGTAGTGACATGAAGTCTGCTTCTGAATTTAAACAATTTCAGGCTTCCCTTTACCTGAGGAGGGAGGATTAAAAATTTTTATTGGGCTCCCGGAACTGCCCTGGCCCAGGGCTAGGAGCCCACGGAAACTGCTTCTCGGTCCGTGTCCTGCTGAGGGCCGGTCAGGACTCACCCGTTGCTTTGGTTGCCCTGCAAGGGGAACGAAATGCTGCCATTCGCATAGGATACCAACATGGCAGAGATCTGATGTCATCAGAAAGC